GGAGCCCCCGAGACCAACCGGCAAGTGGTCCATTTGTGCTGGAGCATTGGCAGCTGACGGCTGAGCCGGGGGAGGCGAACTCTGTGCAGTCGTCACCGCCTTACGACTTCTAATAAGGTTTGACATCTGCAATGTCAAATTTTCATAAACTAATAATGGTAGCACTAGTACTTTATTTAGTCAAATTTTCAATATGAAATTTTATATTTTTTTAACAAACTTATAAATAAATAAATAAAAACTAAACTTAGTAAATTACCATGAAGAATAATATCCAAGATCAACTAACTTATCACATTCTCATAAACTAATAATGGTATATATCGCTAGCTTGGTCAGTCATTCGGCTCACCTCTAAAATGTGATAATTAAAGTGTGAGAGAATGAACAAACATTGAAAAATGCAATTGACAAATCAATATATTCTTTCCATAACAACATTGTCATTCTTCATCATTTTGTCAAACAAAGTAGGGTAAATATTTGGTTATGCTCAGATACGCTCATATTATTATTATTCTCCAATATGGAGGTATTTATACAAGAACAAAGATGTGTTAACCCTAAATAAAATAGGAAATATATCTAAATTACAATAGGAAGTAAATCTATATTAAAAAAGGACTAAATAATAATTGGTAAGTAACCAAAATTCTAATGAAATAAGGAACCAAAATCCTAACTAAGTAAGGGCTCGCCAACACTCCCCCTCAAGTTGGGCAAAGATATTTCGCATGCCCAACTTGACAAGTGAGTCATAGAACACCATACTTGAGAAGCACCAATTGTAGAGAAGGTCTTTTTGTCAACCACGAGTGAAACAAGTAACAAACTAAAGCAAAGTTCGCAGCGGAAACACAAGAGCAAACCCTAAAAAATGGGGCACATAGCAGAACACAGAAACCCTGTGAGCACGGCAGCAGATATGGTAGAACACAGAAACCATGTGAGCACGGCAGTAGATAAGGCAGAACACAGAAGCCCTGTGAACACGGCAGTAGATAAGGCAGAAACCAAACCCTAAAAATAGGGTAAGGGAAGGCATGGCAAAGAACCCTAAAAATAGGGTAAGGCACGACAAAGGTAAAGCCTTACCCTAAAAATAGGGTAAGGCAAGGCATGGCAAAGAACCCTAAAAATAGGGTAAGGCACGACAAAGGTAAAGCCTTACCCTAAAAATAGGGTAAGGCAAGGCATGGCAACAATACTGGCACCATAACAGGCATGAGCAACAATACTGGAACCAACAAGAGCAACAAGGCAGAGACATAACAGGCATCATCAACAGCAATACAAGGCATTGGCACCAGCAACAACAGAGACAACTTCTCTTCACTCCCCTTCTCCCCCTGAAGAGAAGGGGTCGATGGAGCCATATGATCAATGGTACTTGAGAAACATGCACTGACTAACACTGAGATGTAGCATAATCAGCCATGGTAGATAGGTGGTTAAATTGCAACGGAATAGATGAGCAGCGGTGACAATAGCAAGGTAGGCAGCGATGACGGTAGCAAGGTAGACGGTGGCGGCGACAGACTAGGATTATAAGCTAGATGTATAGTGCAACGGAAATAGGTAGTGTCTAGGGTTAGGGTAGAGACATATCAAAACACAGTAACATCATCGGCAATAACCATAGCAACGGAAAGTGAAGTAAACAAAGGCAACATTAACGGCAACAATAGCGGCAACGGTAACATCAACGACAGTAGTAGAGGTAACGACAACGACAACAGCAACAGCAACAGTTCTTCCATATCAACTTTAGCTAATTCACACAGACAACTTCTCTTCACTCCTCCTCTCCCCCTGAAGAGGTCGTCGGAGTCAAGAAATAGACTATATCTTCATGGGAATACATCAAGGTAATGGGGATACGTCAATAAACATATCCTTTTCACTCCCCCTCCCCCCCTTGAAGAGGAGGGGAGGAGAGCACTTAAATTGCAAGGAGAACGCAAACACAGGTCACAAGAAAACCTAGGCTCTTATACCATGTCAAACAAAGTAGGGTAAATATTTGGTTATGCTCAGATACGCTCATATTATTATTATTCTCCAATATGGAGGTATTTATACAAGTACAAAGATGTGTTAACCCTAAATAAAATAGGAAATATATCTAAATTACAATAGGAAGTAAATCTCTATTACAAAAGGACTAAATAATAATTGGTAAGTAACCAAAATTCTAATGAAATAAGGAACCAAAATCCTAACTAAGTAAGGACTCGCCAACACATTTTTCATATATCCCTCATCCTCTCCAAAATGGAAAATGAAATGCTACGACAAAAATAACAGAAGTTACAGCCGCCAATATACATCCAGTGTATGAAAAAGAATAAACTGGACTTTTAGAACCAAAAAAATTTCTTAAATTTCTTCTTAATAAATTAAAGTGTTAAACAACCCAGAAGAGAAAAGGTTTGCAACAAGCAGATTACTAACTAAAGACATTAATAAGTGCAAGTAAATCAAAAATTGACAACAACAACAAAAATCTTAAATTTCTGCAGAAAACAAAGAGAAAATGAGTTTGTAGATAAAAATCAAGCCCATGTGTTATCTGCTGCCAAAAGCAAACCAAAACCCAGTAATCAGCACCGAAAAAACAGAAATACAAATCTATAAACCCAGAAGAGAAATACAAATTTATCAGATGTTTCCAAACTTCAAACACCAAAACATGTCTCAGTGCCACTTCCATTTTTAATTTACCCAAGCTCAGCATAGATGAAATTTGGGCAGCAAATATTACAAAAAATAAATAAATAAATTGGGCAGCAACATCACATTTCAATATGCCAAAATGGAGATTTCAGAATCTATAATTTGAAAACAAATGTCCAATATTACCAGAGGGGGCTATATTTTAGAATCTATAATTTCAGTATAGTTGAAATTTTATTAAATTGGGGCAAGAGTTGGGAATTTTACCAGAGGGGGTTTCGAGGGAGACCCAGAGAGAGACCAGGATGCAGTGTGGTGAGAGAGAGAGAGAGAGAGAGAGAGAGAGAGAGAGAGGGGCCGTCGTCTCCGGTTCAAAGAGAGGGATGAGAGGGGTCGAATGAGAGAGGGCTTGAGAGGGATGAGATTGAAGACGGAATGAACAAAATCTGCGCCTTTTTTTTAGAAAATTTTCTCGAACTTGCGCGACGACCAAATCTTGGCGTCGCGCAAGGTAATATTTACACGTCAAAATTTTCGCAATGCTCAACATAACAACAAAATGACGTCGCGCAAAGACTTTTATCTGCCAAAATTTTCGATCTGCGCGACGTAACAATAAATTGACGTCGCGCCAAGACTTTTTTACAAGCGGCCGCCAAAATTTTCGCAAACTTGCGTGACGTAAAAATAAATTGACGTCGCGCAAAGACTTTTTAGAAACTGGCCGACAAAATTTTCACAAACTTGCGCGACGTAAAAACTAAGGCGTCGCGCAAAGTAATATTTTCACACCAAAATTTTCACAACTTGCACAACGTAACAAAAACTGGCATCACGCAAAGAGTTTTGCGCAACGACTAATTTCAAGCATCAGTTTAGCTCGCGCACCCCTAAATTCTGAAGCCAAAATTATCACAACTTGCACGACGTAGAAGATAGCCTTACGTCACGCAAACCCTAAACCTGAACCCTAAAACCTAAACCCTAAACCCTAAACTCTCGAAAATTATCACATTGCGCGACGTAGGTGGTCTTGGCGTGGCTTAAAGTTTGTTTGTGCAACGAATTGATGCATCTCACAAGATTATTTTTTTTAAAAGAATGATTATAAAAATTACTGATGAATCATATTAAAAAATCCAAGTATTGTGAAATAATAGAAATAATTGTAACCAATTGCATTTTGAAATTGATGATGAATTTATAAAATGAAAACATTAAAACATTTATGAATTTGATTTGTGATTGTTAGGGCTGCAATTCGGCCGGAACGGATCGAAAACAAGTGTTCCGAATTCCGATATGAAAATATTCGGAACTAAAAATAAATTCCGATGCCAATTCCAAAAATTCAGAATATAATAATTCTATTTCGATAAAGAATATTCGGCACTTTCGGAAACTTCTGAAATTCCAGAAAGTTAACTTTTGAAATATTATTATGATAATTTCAAAAATTTAGGTATTCATAAATTAGAAATTCTAGATCATTAGTATCGAAACTAATGATCTTTATTTATGAATTCGTCTTTTATCTTCTTTTCAATCTTCTTTTCAATCCAAGTGATACATGCGATCTGGAATTCTACCTTCCTCTCTCAGTTGCTCCCTCTAAACTTCTCTCCAGTTGATTATTGCCAAATTGTGTCCTATAGATTTCTTCTTCACGTTTCCTTGCTTTTTCGTTTTGGTTTGATGATAGTATTTATTATAGAGCATAGTTCTTGTATGGGTTGAAGGATTGAGGGTGCTGTAAATTATTATTTGTTGTTGATGGCACAAAAAAAAGAGATTTGGATGCAACTGGATACAAAGTTGTTGGCTGTGTAATTGAACTAATTTTTTTTTTTTTTTTCATTTGGACCATTACGTCAAGAACCCTCTATCTGACTTGGGATTAATATATTTTAATTGTATGGATGAGATATTTTTTACATTAGAATTTTATTGTATTTTTTTTATGGATGAGATTTTTTTTTTCTCCCTTTCTGTTGCACTTAGTCTATTTAATTAAACCATGATATATTATCTAATTTCATATTTAAACTAAAGATTATACGATTACATATGATTTTTTTTTCCTTTTATTTTGCTAAGGGAATGTTAAGGTTTGTTTCTCATTTTCATTTTTTGAAAATGTTCTCTAAAAACAATTTTCAAAAATATTACCAAAAGGGTCATGGCTTTATGATTTAAATGAAGGTACATGGTGTTGTAACAAGACACTTGTGACAAGCATGTCTAGTCAAATACAACATCTAGCTTCAATTCAAATATATGACCATATGATATTATAGAGGTTACATGCATTGTTGATCAGAGTAATGCTGAAAACACTAAAATAAATTCCAAATTTTTATAGCTCAATTTATTTAACAATGTTTCATTTCTTCACACATATAAGGTTTGGATATAACAAGTACACATATGCATTTTTGTTATATTCAAACAAGCATATTTGCCAAAATCTTTACACTAACATAATTAAATTACAAAAAATTTCATTTACTGTGTTTTACATGGCAAGTCGCAAATAAATTGCATTATTCATCATCTGAACTATAATAACCTTCGTTATCGTCGCTATCATCACTTTCGGTCTCCCAATCCTCCTCCTCTATAACTACATCATCATCGTTGTTCGAGCCCACTGCAACATTGTATCGCAAAAGATCACCGAGGTCAATTGTAATTGACTGAATCGGTATTTTGATTGAAGACACTCCTTGTATCTGAAACGGTTCTTATATAACATTTGTATCTCAAAATGTTTCCGCATCATTTTCCATTGAAGATTCTAAACGTTGGTCAGTGAAGTTGTTGACGTCGTTGTCAGTTGGGTCTAGTTCTGGTATAGCATACACATTCCTCTGAACCATCTTCTGAACAATTTTCCAACCGCTCCCGGCTTTAGAGTCGTGTAGATACACTGTTAGTCAAGACATAAACAAGACATAGACAGCTTTCCTAAAACAAGGAAAAGCTTGTCTATCATCTCTCATACTTTTCCATGTTTACATATCCATGTTTTAGGGATGTTTACACATCCATGTTTTAGGGATACCTTTCCAGGATTTGTGTTAGATGTAATTATTAATTAGCCATGTACAATTGCATATAACTCTCAAGTGAGTAATACAATTTCAGATTAGCATTTTCTGCAAATCTTCTTCTCCAAGTTCATCTCTATTATCTCAATTACACTATCTTTGGCATGGTATCAGAGCAATCGATTTTGGTTGCCTTTGCATAACCTTGTTCTTTCCTAATCTCTACCTATCCTTGCCCATAATTTGCTGTTATATCATTCCTATCTCATACTTTGCCTTACCTTAAAATTGGTTGTGATCACAATCCTAATTTGTGCTCTTGTTTGCTGAAGTTCTAAGCTTGTTTGCTTAAACCTTGTCTCTACTTAACCTTGTCCCTGCATAATTCAAACTTGTGTTCCT